ACCAAAACAGAAACCGAGACCCGCTGGTTAAAATCCTGGACAAGAATCCTAAAGGCTCCCTTTTATCGTCACTCAAGTCTGTAAGTCATTGTAAATGATGCAATTTTATGTGCAAAGATAAAAAAGTCACAATAAAATAATAGTTTTGTTATCTGCAGCCAGGAAGGAGTTCAGTGGACGCTTTGATCTGGAAAGAGATGGCAGGCCATTTTCATTTAGGATCATTTTTGTGACTTAATAAACTAATTGCTCTGACAGTAACAATCCCAGCATTGTCTTTTTTTTCCACATTTGAGAATTTTTCTAGGATTGGATCAGAGTGAGGGGAGTACATTCTTCTTTGAAAAGAGTTGGGATGAAGACAACTACTGAATTTATCTAACATTACAAAATCCCAAAAAAATAAATACAGAAAGAAAGAAAATGAAAATTTATTTGTTTAATAGGAAACAGATCAGCAATATGATTGGGTGTATAAACAGCTTCCAGAGAAGTGCAGGGCTCAGGGGTAAACATGTGGGCTGGATGGCGGCTGGAAAGATTGGTTCAGCACAGAAACCCTGTGTGCAAATCTTCAGAAAGCATTGCTCAAGTCAGTATAAAACTTTGCTGAATTTGGGATTGGAGTTATTTACGGTCCAGAGATTTATTAAAATAGATTGAGGTCATGCAGACATGTGTTCCATGAGGCAGCAGGACGGAAAAGCCAGTAAAATGCAAACATGATGCAGAAATAAATTCCTTTTTTTTTCTCACTTTCAACATCTGATATGACTTTGTGTTTTGGCAGACTGCACCTGAATGCTGATTCAGCACAAACATTAACATTGTATTCATGGACATTTCAAGTTTATCAAAGTTTTGGAGCACACTTCTACTGATGAGTATAAATAGCACAAAGAGTTATTTTATTGACATATACGGCACTGTGACTAATCCGTGCTTGCCTCTATATGTTGTAGTTCTAGCTTGAAAATCACTTATTAGTACCTTCAATGAGCACGAGCCAAATAAACAACTTTCTCAAGGTTGCTATTTTAAACTGAACTTGACACTGCTGTATTCTGTCTAGGATCGAGCAGGAAGGTATTTATTACATCTGAATCAGTCTGTATGTCTGGACTGAATTAAAAAGTCTAAGCCATTCTAATACATAAATATATATCGTGAACCATTTTACTGCAGCTCTGGATGTTCGTTTGAGGTTGTTGTCTTGCTGGAAGGTGGATCTTAGCCCCAGTCTCAAATCTTTGCAGCCTTTAGCAGATTGTCGCTCACTATTGCCCTAATATGTCTGACCTATTTCCCTAATTCTTTTGCAGAAGCATTCAAATCAGACATATTGATTTTTATTTTTTGATGATTTATTTATCTAGGTAAACCACATGGAGACATGAGGTCTCATTTCCAAAAGCAACACTTTTAAAGAAAGCAATTTGAATATTGTTAGATCTTTGTCCTTATGGAAATTAAGGAAGAGAAAAAAAAATCAAACAGCCATTCATTCTTCATTTTCTTTTTTCCAAGCTTTTCCATAACTGTACAAAGGTAACAGAAAATATCAGACTTTGCAAAAATGCAATCCATGCCGCAACAGCAGAAAAAAAATTAACAAATGTCAGAAGATATCATCACCTTCCCAAGGGATTGTAGGCAATGTTTGAAACTCAGAAACTATTACTTATTGATTAAATGTTCACTATGTTCATGGATGTGAAGTAATTTGTGGTACTGTTAAAACATGGAGTTTCTTACTTCTGCTGCTGTATGCATTTTCCCATTTGTGATTCTGAATTATATAGAATTGACTATTAAGTCGGTTGGTCTAAAAGCTGCACTGGACACAGAGACTTTTTCTGTAAATCCTATTATCACTTTATAAATCTTGACCAGAATAGGGCAAGCTCTGTTGAGAGAGGACAAGTTATCTGAATGTCGTCATGGTTTTCTGGCTGCAGAGATGGAGTTCCGAGCAATCCAGTGACTCAGGTTTTATCAGGAGTGTTTTCAGACTACAAATAGGGAAACCAACTAACACCGAGCAAACATGTGGCACTGACTGCGAGCACCTCTCATTAAGAGAACAGAGCTTTACCACATTATGCAAAGCTCAATAGTTTACATCACATTTTTTCTTAGTGAAAAAGGTGAATGTAACACATATTTGTGCTGCAAAAAGGTTGAAAGAAAATGTGCTGGTAGAGCGGAAATGTCGTACCTGTTTGTCTCTCTATAAGCACCAGCGTGTCTTCAGTGGGGGCCCCCTCAAGAAGCTTCTCTGTTAGTCGACTGCCACTAGCTTTCAGCAACCTGGAAAAACGATGGACAACACAAATCAGCATGACAAAAGGAAGCTGTCTGTCGAAGTGAGGCAACGTTTTTCAACTCACCAGCTAAAAGAGCAGTGCAGACTAGCCCAGAGGTTGGGGTGCTGAGTCAGTGAGGTTAGTGATCGAGCCGCGTTCCCACTTCTCTGGTGTGGAAAAACTGCTGGGGAAAATACGCTGTTCATCCTCAGAGCTCTCTGGGGACAACCTCCTTGCTCACTGTCGAACACCTGACAGGGAAAAGACAAATATATATGAGCAGAATGAGGGACATTTAGCTATATGTTTGAAAAATAATACAAAAGTCCTACAGCATCAATAACATTGATCTACCTTTAAGGCTGTGCTTTGCAGGCTATGTATTGTGAGCTTGAGGTGACGCAGCAGAAAAGGCCAGGAGTTGATAAGGTAGATCCTGTCCATTGCCACCAAAACTATACTGTACCATCGCTGAAAACCCCGGGCCAGGCTGTCTTTGATAAAAAAGGTGTGTGAGAACACAAACCCATGCTGCTCATCGCCAAAAAAAATGGGCCCCTCACGGCCAGGACACACCTGAAAACAAAGGACAAAAACAAGCAAAAAATAAATTAAGAAAGTGATTGTTCAAAAAAATAAGAAAACAAAATTGACTTGCTTAAAAGCCTAATATCTAGCAGTACATCACATTTGGGCTCTTCAGACTAGCTGTGGGGCAGATACTGGCGTCAAGATATACCTAAGTTTGAAGAAGTTACGTTTTCAAAACCACAAACAAAATTTTCCGTCATGTCAGTCCTACGTTTTTAAGTGTTTTTAATTAGATGTCTCAGGAAGTGCTGGAGCGACCAGAGTTTTATACAGAGCCATGGAGTATAGTAACTCAGCACTGCTCCTTCCCCACTTGTTGCTGCATAATACTGGTCAGCTGGCTGAAAGAAGGCTGCTACACATTTTCTTTTATAAAAGAAAAGAGGAATTTGTCTTTTTGGAATTGGCCCCAATTGTGAAAACACGGACACGTAAGAGAACAAAAATAGTATTTCTTTAGATAATATATAATTTCCACCTCTTCCAAATGTTCCCTCTTCTACTTTGAGATTTTCATACCAGTGCTATTGAGGCACAACATTGGGCAGAAGCATTTTCTCACAATGGCTTTTCTAGCTGCGAAGCTTAATTTTCAACGAGTTATTTATGGTGTTATCAATGGTTTCAAAATGAGAAAAGCCAAAAACAGAAGCTGCTCTCACTTAAAAATGCATTATTTCTAATAAGATCACCAACGCTGCACAGAAGGCGCAAATAAAACCCTGTAATTTATGAAAATTATCTTCTTGAGTCAAGATTTCCTTTGTTAGCAGGACAGACTCTAAAGTCTGACATCTCAGATAGAAAAAAAACTCTAACATTTTCAAAATAGGCACAAACTGATGATGTTCCACTGTAAATTACAAAATATTCTCTTTCCATTAACCCATAATGTTTCCAAATATATTGTGGGAATAATTTATGCTACTTATGTTGCGCATCGCTAGTTTCTTTTGGCAAAGTCTGAAACAAATATAATATTTGAGTACTCTTTTTAAACCAGTATGTTTGAGCCTCAGACTATAATGTAAATATTAAATTCTACTGCTGTATTTCTTCATGTATGGACTGATTTGTTCACTTTTTTTTGGGATATGTTTTCCAAGATAATTTCTTCTTTAAAGTCTTTGAAGAATATTGTTAATTTACCTCACAGCTGAGACTGCGTACACAGGCCTGTCTGACCACACTGAAAAGCTGGGACTGCCTAGGATGCTGATGGCTCAAGAAGCGAATGCCTGTTTCATCATCGATGCTCACAAAGCCAGGATGAGACGCAGGTAGAGATCGACAACCCTGTGAGGAGAGAAAAGATGGCAATAAGTAACTCTGAAGCTACAAAACTTTATTCTCAAAATAGCAGGTTTTCAGTCCACTCACCTCACACATCTCTCCTCTCTGTGTTGCTGAGCTATTGGCCCTCATAGTCAGACCTTCACCCTCCCGGTCACCATCCCGGTCTCCTGGCACGGGGGTCCCCACCTGAGACGAAGGGTCTGGGGATGGTGGGTGCAGCGCCTCGGTGCAGAACAATGTCCGGGGGCCATGGAGCTCACAGAAATGACACAGAGCCACCAGCGCGTTCATCTGAGAGACATTTAATATATCTAGATAAACTATTGAATAAAAGTTTAGATCTCGTATAATTTACATCCTTTGGATCATATTTGTTTCCAGCCAGTACGTGACTTTACAATGCTACGCTTATTTTAATACGTTGTCATAACAACAAGCTAATTTGGAGTCTTACCTTCAGCGCAAAGATTGGTACGAAAACACAGCTGCTTCCGTTGCTTGTGTTTAAGGATATAAAGACGAACAACGGGGAAAGTATAAAAAAAAGTAAATCTTCAAAAATATATTTAGCAAAAACTCATTATTGAACGAGAGTAAATGGATATTTGCACCACTTCCCCCGTTTCTGTTTACATGATGTTAGCAAACAACAGAGGAATCACATGACGTTGAGGCACGTCGCACGCGCTTGCGTCTCACGCTGACTCATTGCTGAGTGCTCCGACGGTTAACGTCACTTCACAACGTTTAAATAACCGTTAAGACAAAACTTTGTTTTTTTAAAAAATAAAATATGCTCTCCAGTTTTTTATGCTTGTGTTGGTAATATTAAGCTTTCGTTTGTACATCTAAATTCGCTTCGCCTACAGATACTTTTCAATAAAACTGCATTAACCATAATTCCATTCGACACAGCTTGGGTCAAGAGTACCAAAGAGAGCGATCACTTCGATGAACTTCGTTAGGCTTCTTTTCTTTTCAGTGAAAAAAGTAAAATTGCATGTATACATATTTTTACTACCATGCAAATCTAAGTTAGCCGGAAGGCTAACTTGGAATACCGGATGGCTAATCCGGGACTTCCGTGTTTATGCTTCCAGGTGTCCAGGTAGCAGAGACGGGTCATTTTACGCCAGTCTGTCAGTGAAACGCTACAGGGATAGCTCTTTGATTTGGAAATGGAGTCAGACGGCACAGAAGTTTCCTCGGGCTCTATGGAGAACCAGAAGAGCGGAGGTGAGAGCTTCCTGACTCCCACCGCCCTGATTGACTCACCGGATCTGAGTGCGGCTGAAACTGACCGGAACAATGATACCCGGAAAAACACAGGAGGTAAAGGTCTCAGTGTTCCTCTATTGCTTCATGTCATTGGTAATCACTTTTACACATAGTTTCTTTGATAGATTTGTTCTATTGACTCTAAAAGCCACAGTTATTAAAGCAGAATCCCAGTTCACCTTTTGCACCTCACTCTTAGCCCTAAGCCTGTTTTTGTTTTGTAAGGTTTACATGCAATAACACAAACACGCTTTTGTGGAGCAGTGAGAATGTTTAGGGACGTGGTTATGAAAAACTAAGATTTGTTTTGCGCTTTCAGGTCCTTTCCTAAATGTAGATGTTTTCTTTAATCACGTGGTTTTTTTTATGGTTTAGTAACTAATGTTTAAGTGAAGCCTTCCTATTCAAAGCAGTTGGCATTCATGTCAATCAGCATAAAAAGAGCAAAATTAAATATATTTCTTTCCTGACAATAAATATATTATTATTATTTAGTTTGATGTATATCATTTGTTCTGTTTGGTATCTTATTTTGTTTTATTTAAAACGCCAGCAATGAAAACTACAAACAGGGGAAAAAGTGGTTTTAGTATGTCACAAGAATGAAAATGCAAAACCACTTTAATATATGCATTGTGATAAATTACCCTAGTAAAAATAATACATGTATTAAGTATGAATAATTGAAGAACAAATATTAAAGATAGATTAGCACTGCACATTGTATCACATGTACTATTGAAATATAGCTGCAATCATATTTAGAAAGCAGGGTTTCCCCCAGCGTATTATAAGTCTGGCGGGCCACCAGGCTTTTCTTGTACCCCCACCAGGCTCAGCATTACTTTTTTATTTAAGTCTTTTTGAAATGCCTGCATTTTTAAAAGATTTACAGTTGGTGTTCAGGTGTTATTCTTCCAATCTTTCAGTAAAACATAATTATCAAGTGATATTTTAAAGTTTCTTGTTAACTTCAAACATTTTTTAACTCAAAAACATGACGGGCCGCTGGATGCATGACCGGCTTAGTGCTCAACCATCGGACTTAGCAAGTATTCTGGGGGAAACCTTGGAAAGCAAAGAGGAAGGACAATGGACTCTTTCTGATGTAAATCCACAAATTAATTGATTATTTTTAAAATACTTTTAAATTAGAGTGCACTGATTGCAGTTTTCTGGCCGATCGCTGATTACCAGTCTTAAAATCCTGACCTGCAGATTACAATTTTGGCCGATGCCGATTTTTGTTGCTAAATATTGCAAGAAAGTTGCTGAATTGATAACAGTGGGATGATTATTATTGAGTGCAAATGGGCAGACATGATCTGGTGGGTCAATGTACCAGTCAAACGTTGGTCATTGGAGAAAAAAGAGGACAGAGGTTGGTTTTCAGACCTTTCCTGATCAAGGTAAATATCGGCTGATCACCAATCTCCCAAAATTAAGGAAATAGGCACTAATAAATCAGCTGGCTAATAATCAGTGCACCCCTAGTTTTAAATGCAACTTTAAAATATTGCATTGAGATATGTCCTTCCCACTTATAGCAGAACTGTAATAAGGCAGTTATGAAGCAAACCCGTCAGTGTTTTGTTCTCTCCCAGAGCAGTTTCAGTTCTGGTAAGCTGTTATCATGTGTCTAGACCCTCTCTTACTGACAGAGGCAGCTGAATTCATGGAGTAGAACGGTGTAAGTTTCTGACTTCCTGACAGAATGTTCTGCTGGATCAGTTCCTGGCATCAACTAATGACTCAAAACTCAAGACTCCGACTCTCGGAGGAGGAGAGTGATTTAACAGTCTGCTTCAACATCTGCATCTATCACTTTTAATCCACTAAAACTCCTAAGGAACAAGTGCAAAAAAATGCACTTCCTGGAAGTTATCGCGCCTGGATTCGGGTCAGATGGTTTTGTGCCAGCTGGAGTCATCTCAGTTCTCACAAGACATTACAGCCACAGTTTAGGTATTTGGGCTGAGAGTTGCATTCAGTTCTGTCCAAAAATAGAAAAACAGGAAGTGTAGTGTGAAATCTTGGATGATTTTTCAGTCATTTGGATTGACTCATTACCACCTGCTAAAGGGCTTATAGTGTTACTGTGTTGCAGGGAAAATATGATATCCAGAGGTCATTACTTGTAATGTAAACATTAGACAAGCAAACAAATAATTAATGATTAGTAATGGTGGTTTTTAACATGTCTACACTTAGAGTTTACCTCCCAACATGCTTTCGTCTTCATTTTAACAAAGTATTTTCATTCTGCTAGAAAACGGCTGCGTTATGTTCATACAAAAACAATGCTGATCAGTGTGTTTGCATGCCGAAGCCAGAGAAACACCAGGCATGGCTGCATGTATCACCATTTAATTAAATGTTCCTTAGGCTTTCATTCAGATTTTACTACACCTCTTCACCCTGTCTTCCTTATTGTTGTTCTAATTTATAGAGTCTTCAGAGCAGAACAAGGATGGATTAAAAGTGTGCCAGTTTTTCCAGAAGGGAAAGTGTCACTTTGGACGAAGATGTCGTTTATCACACAGGTTTGTTCAAATCCACTTGCCTCTCATAAGTAACAAGAAGGAGGTCTCTTATTCTCTTTTTGCATTTTTTTAGCATTTCACACTATATAAGTTTCCTATTCATATAGGTTCAGTTAGAGATTCAGAGACCAATCAGGATTCAGAAGAATTTCAGTTTAATCAGCTCTGACTGATGACTGATGGACGGCAAACTCAAACAAATAAATTATTCCCAAGACTAAACACACCATATCAGAACCACAGTCTGGATTAGATGCAGTTCCAGACAAAAGAGGGAGTCGGAGTCTTGAGTTTTGAGTCAGATATTTTCAATGTCTGGTGATCTACGTCAGGAAGGGAAAATATGTCCAAAACTATTTGACATGAAACATGTCCAAACATGTTTGTCTTTCTTTCAGGCCTTGAGGAAGGGACAGAGAGCAAATCTTTAACAAGGCTAAAAGTATTACTGCAAAGTTTAACTGGGTTTAGAAATTGTGGCAGTGTTTTGGACATGACAAGATAATAATAAAAATCTTCATTCTCTTTTTTCACACAGACAGTGTTTGCTACTAATCTAATCTGAGATGCTAAAGTCGAAATGTGAACCTTGATTTTTTATTTATTTATTTTTATGTCAAAATCCAGTTTTGCAGCAGCTGATCTCCTGATCTAAAAAATATAAATGAGAAGCAGAAAAGCTAAAAAAAAACCCACTAAAATTATGTCTTCTTATGTTATAGTCAAGGGGGAAATGTAATCAATTAAAATGATAACAGGGAGGTCAGAAATAAGAAAATGACATATTTTCTTTACCCTCCAGCACAGAGTAAAAAGAAGAAAAAGCTCGATGTAGTTTTTTATTTTGTGAATGAGTAGACCATTCAAACAGACTTATTTTCCGGTGTGCTTAGATAAATAAAAATATTACAATTTCCAGTTTTAGTTAGTTCTCAGTGAAAATCCCCGTGAACTCAGTGTTCCTGTTCATTTTCCTGTGTTATTTGCCTTTTTGGTTTATTTGGTATTTTTTTATGTTGGATTTTAATGGGAAATTTGGATATTAATCTGCATTTAGATGCAAATAATTCATGCCATAATATGTATTCTTATTATTATTATTATTATTAATTGTGGAGCAAAACTTTTTCTTTAGGTTTTTCTTCAGTTTCATGTAAGCTTTTATATCCTAAGCCACATCTGTTTCAGATTAATGTAGGGCTCCTGCCTTTTTAATTTGTCATGATTTATGACCATATTTTTACTTTCCCTCCCTCCTGCTGTTGTTCTCATTTATTTCAGTGACCCATCACCGCATGACTCAGCGGGTCTATCCACTGACATGGATGACAAACAGGATGAAGAAAAGATGGAAAAACACAAGAAGAAAAGAGGCGCCGTGAGCAAAGCGATGAAGCCTAAAGACAACGAGGGGAAAGGTCAGACCTTATTTTTTTATCTTGGCGTATCACAATTAATCTGAAGAGACTTTTATGTATTTATCTCTCTCTTTGTTCTCTGAATGGAAACAATTGAATTCTTTCCAGCAGATGTGAACAAAAAGCCCCGCATGCGCACAGCAGATGAGGTTATCTCTCGCATCTTGTGGGACACATCGGTGGACGCTTCAGAGTTTGTGGTGGGCTACGTGGATCGCTTCCTCGGTGTGCTGGAGCGCCCTTTCTGTGACTTCAACTGGGACACCAACCCCTGTGACTGCGACTACACGACAGAGCTGGCTCTGCCCAGACACCGGATCCAGTACTTCGCCTACAGAGGGCACCGCGTCTGGGACCGCCACAGCAGAACTGACAGGGTTTTTGGCTCCACCGGTCAATCTCTGTCTCCCCCGTTTGGAAAGGAGGAGGAAGTAAAGGGTGAGACCCTTCTCTGCCTCCATCAGCACAAAACAAAATAATGTGCCTTTGTCCCATCTCAGCCACAAATCAAAATGTTTCTGCTGGGAACTTTTGCAGAAGATCATCATAAAGTCGAACACATTTATGAAGTTGATGGAAACTTACACAAGGTTTTATGAACTTAGGTTGCAAGCAAAAATCTGAAAAGTCTAGGACACATGTGGAGGCTTCAGATGTTTGTTGGAGAACATTAGATGAGGGTTTAGTTCATAAATTATTGTCACAAGCTTTAAGCACACAGAATACTTCTGAGTCGTCTGAAAATAGAGCCATTATGCTGTGAAGATTGTTTTTCTCATCAAGAAAGCTTGGTGACGCTTGATGGGGAAAATGGGTGGTGATGGAAATAGATGAAGTCATATTTAATAAATGAGAATATTTTTGCAAAGTTAATTCATTCCAGTTTTTAAATTCAGAAAGTGAAATACTTTAAAGGCATTAAGCACAGACAGATGATTTCAGACATTTCCATTAATTATCGTCATTTTCCTCGTGCAGGGAATGAAAACACATTTCATAATAAAATATTACATCAGACCAACAAAAGATTATGTTGCAGTACAGAAATGTGAGCGTAATTTAAAGATATTGAATATGTGCTTAAAGGTCAATATTTTCAAAAGCTACTTTTAATATTATAAACAAGCTTTGTTGGAGTCCACATTCTGATTTACTGAAAGACTTGATCAAGTTATTCAGAGATTCAGTCAGACTGAGTTCAAACTATTTTGGAAAGAAGCACTACATGTGGAAAACTACTTTAGACTTGCAGTATAAGTGGTATTACAAAGTAAGACCACTAGGTATTGGTATTCACAGCCTGAATACAAATACCTGTAAAACATTTATAGAATTGTATTACACAGTTATGCACTACTTTGTATATTTGTAGTTGTAACACAGCAAAATGGGGAAAAGCTCAAGTGGTAGGAATACTCTTATACCTCTGTATAATTTTTCAAACTAAAAATGATCCTTTGTTTCAGATGGAAGCAGAGTAAAGGATCCAGAGCAAGAACAAGACGGTGATTGTGAAACAACAGAGGAGCAGACAGGTGCTGTGGGTGGTCAGGATGAAGACTGTGTTCGTACCAAAAACAGACATGTGGAGGAAGAGGAGCTGAATGAGATGAATCACACTTTTGCCCCCACACATTGTGGAGGAAACACTTCTCAGGAACAGCAGGATTCTCGTGGATTATGTGTTGAAGAGGAGGCTGCAAATAGGTCTGGTGGTTATTCTTTCTGCAGGTTTTATCTTTAACTCATTGCAGACAAAATGTCCTGTGTGAAAACCCCCAAATTTGAGTAAAATGTGTGTTTTAAATACCTCACTTTGCATGAAATGCTCAGAAGTACACAATGCAAGGCCTCTTTGAGGATTCATATGAGGTCCTTCAGGACTGAATGAGTTATAGATGCTGTCAGAGCCATTTTTGGCAATAAGTTTATATTTCTGGTGTCTCGCAAACGAGCCGTTTCAAAACCCTTCTGAATGTAGCGTCACAAATCAGCAGGCTCTGCTCCTCACCTAGCAGCCGCAACAAAGCTCAGCCTGTTACCTAGCAACCCAAGCTGAACTCCAGCATGTTTGGTCAGCTACTTTTACCGCTGTATGTGCTGTACAGTGGCGGCTGGAAAAGACAAACGTTTTCTTGTTGATTTACCATCCAGAAACCACTTGCTGCTTTCTTGTTGGTTGTGCAGGAGGGTCCACTTATGCTTTTTAAAGACGCACAGTGGTAGAACCGTGCATCTGTTTGCAGCCATGTTCACATGCAAGAGTAAACGTTGAGTTGGGGGCATAACCAGCAGTAAATTTGAATTTAAAGTGACAAGATGCCTTAAAACAGCTCATTCTGACAGAAGCTCAAAATATTCAGAACTGAGCAGATTAAAATCTCATTATCTAAGAGTGACATTTTTGCTAAATATGTTCTGTATAGCCCATAGATCTATTCTAATCTGTTCAAGGAAGCATAATAGGCCACCTTTAATATTTAGAGGACAACTCAGATAGTCACTAACTTTTCTGAAGCAGGTGAATGAATCATTAAATTTCAGACGATGTTATTGTTTTGTTTTAATAAAGTAAGTCATGTTTATTCTGCCATGTGTATTTATTTCCCTTTCCTGGTTTCTATTTAGACTTCAATTGCCAAGGGCGAAAAATTCCTCATTTCCGGAAAATGACCAGGATGTAAATGAGGAAGGAGAGGAGAGACATTTTGAAGACTGGGAGGAAACCTCGGAAGGTCATGAAGACACACAGGTGTGGATAGAAACCCTTCCTCTGACTGACATCATCGCAGTTGGAGTTTATATTTATCTCCATTTTGATGTTCCTCCTTAGGATCCAGCACTGGAGCAGGCAGAAGAGAAAAGTGGCAGGCGTCCTCCGAAGAAAAAACCCACTCACTTCATCACCTTCCGGGCCAACACTCCTACGATCCTGTCCTGCTTCCAGCAGCTGCAGGAGGAGCTCACCGTCCTCCTCCCCTCCTCTGCTCCTCACTGGCAGACCGCCTCCAAGCTGCACGTCACCCTGTGCCTCCTGGTGTTGCGCGGCCCAGCCGAGGTGGCGGCCGCGGTGGAAATCCTCCGCCGGTTCGCCCAACTGGACCGCAACCCACCCGTGGCCGTGACCTTCCCGGTGAAGCTGAAGCACTTCAGTGGCAGGGTGCTGTACCTGAGCCCCCAGCCTCAGCTGCGCCTCCACCAGCTGAACTGCGGCCTGCAGGAGGCCTTCAGGAAGGAGGGCTGGTTGCACCGGAGCTCCTACAACCCGCGGTTCCACCTCACGCTGGCTAAGGTAGAAGACACAGAGGGGGAGAGGATTTTTGACGGCGTTTGGGACCTGAAGGTGGGGAAGGGGTTGAATTTTGGGCGGCAGCCAGTCAACACCTTACACCTTTGTACTGTTAGCGGCGCCGAGGTGAACGGTTTTTATGATATCATTTGCACCGTAACTCTTCGATAATGAAGACATGTCTCTCGTCACCTGCACTATTCTACTTATAGCTAATAAATAGTGATTTAAATCACTAAACAGCACATGACTTGGTGCAATAAGATATGTTTACTCTTTTGACATATTCATTAAAACTGATGCTAAGGCAAGATTTTTGGTATTTATTGAAGCAATAAGTCATAAATTCAAAAAGATGCAGTTCTCTCACATTAATTGTGCTTTACTATTTTTCATATTTGCCTTAATTTTGCATACTTTGAGACTTACTTTGACCCCTCTGGGGTCCCTTCATTTAGTGCCATTGCTATTGAGCATGAAAAATACTTTATAAAGACTGCCATAGGAATGTTATATATTGTAATTATTCATTTCAGTCCTCACCATACAGAACCGATTTCTGTTGTGTTAAATGTATTTCAATACAACATATTGGAAAATTAAATAAAACCAAATCAAATTGTAATGATGGTATAAAATCACAGGTTGTTTTTTCAAGGCATGAAAATTTCCCCCAAAACATGAAACCTGATCAATTTTGCTTTTACAATTTGCATGAGCACATTCAAAACATAAAATACGTAGTTTAATAATAAGTCACAAAAGCTAAATTATTGAAGCAAATGCAACTCATCTGAACTTCCTGTAACATTTTGTTTACAGAAACTCAGAAGCATTTGAATTAGAGCAGAAATCAGTTGTTAAAAGGCCTGTTTGTTTTGTAAGGATAAAGCAATCGTGCAAAGTTTTGAGTTGCTAGAAATTTCCATGAGACTATAAGCATGAAGCTCCTGGTATTAGATTTATTTGACCATAAAGAAGACTTTACTTGAAATAATAACAATACTTCATTTATATTGTGTGAGAATTACGTTTTTAGCTGTATAACTTTTTATCAGATTTTCTATCAGATTTTTACAGAATTGATTGGTTAAAACTAATTGGATCAAAATAATCTAAAGAAATTCCAGAAAGCAATCAATGGACAATCAATGATCATAATCTGGGCTCTGCCTAAATTGAGCTGTTTTTCATTTCATTTGACTTTTTCTGAAGTTGATGGATCTAATCTCCCATTGATCCATCCTATTGAACTTTGGCCTGTGTTTTTAAAAAAGCAAATTAAGCACTTGTACTGTTTCTTAAACAGTTGTGATAAATAAATGGTTGTTAAAGGTGTACAAACTTTTATCTTCTTGATGTTGTAAAGCTGCCAGGGTTTGTTAGCTACTCGGCTCGTTCTCTGCTGCCTTTCATGATTAATTCGATTATGAATATTGAATGTAATGTGTTTCACAAGACGGATCAGTCCGTATTCTTCCACAAATTATTATGACCGCTCATTTGCTTTTGCAATTAAACTTTAAGCGGATGATTTAAAGAGCTGTGAGTGGTGATTTTTCTCTCATGTGATGGATGCTCGCTCCCTAAGCTGAGGTCTTGCACACATAATGAATCTGTTTGTTTTCTACCCCATTTTCCTTCCAGATGCATACCCACATATACACTATCCATAAGCTGAGGGAGTGTGTGAGAATGCTCCCTGCTTCTCGACTGTTTGCTCCCTTCGCTTGCATTACCTCCCCTCCCCCACTCCCTTTCAGTGACACAGAAAAGCCAACGCCGCCGCCCCCTCCCTCTCCTCTCTCGTGCCTCTGCCCCCTTTTCTCCAGTGAAAGGCAAACACTTTTTGTTGATGCAGTTCACCTCCATGTCTGTTCTGCACTCTTCTCGCTCCAGTCCCTGAGAGGGCATCTCTCTGAGCGTGCACTCATCACATCAGTCACGTCGTTACGCGTCCTCCGCCGCCTCCCTGTCACTAAATCAGTGTTGGTGCTGTCCTGCAGCCTCCACTGGAAACGGCCTTCGCCTCCAAATCCGCTGCACGCCGCTTTGCCCCTTTCTGTTCATTGTTAGTTGCTCCATCTCTCTCACCCTCCCTCCTCTTTCTCTCAGCATCCCTCCATGGGAACCCGTATTTTTATTCTCCTCAGGTTTTCCTGTTCTCTGCATCCCCCCTCCTCCTTCCTCATCCCCAAATTCATCTCTGTGTGCCTCGTCGTTATTCTTCCTCTGCTTTTGCCCCTTCGGTTTTCATATGAGCACAATCTTCCATGCAAGATGTGAGTGGTGTGCTAAAGCTTCCACAATCATTTTCCAGTCAGTACATTTTTACAGTTTGCCTTGGTAACCTGGGCTGGATTCACTCTGGTGGTCTGGGCAGAGATTGGTTGGTTGGATGGGCGAGCTTTTAGATGTTCAGTGGGGGTCGGCGGTAGAAAGGAGCGAGTGAAGGGATAGACCCCACTAATCCGCGTTAACAGATTAATTATCTTGGAGCAACATCGTGTCGGTGCAGCGTTTTGAACTCACTTGGGCGATCAGCAACGAAGGGCTACAATACAACGATAAAGAGTCCCTGAGGGGTGTCTCCTCAATCCTAATCCCTCCCTCTCTCTCTTTTTCTCTCGTTCGCTAACCCGTGCTCGCCGAGAGCTCCTCGCCCATCTATCAACACAAGCACCTCTCCACTGTCACCAGACAACCACACTGTTATTGACCATTTAATATTTCAGCAGCTGTTCCAGTTACCACCCTCGTTTTTCATCCCGTCTCACGTTGGCATGTCTCTGAGCCGCTTCTTTGAGGATGATCAATTTTCAAGCGCGCCCAGCGTTGACGACGGGCACTATAGCTCTCTGAGTGGGTAAATATTTCACGGACACCGGCAAAGAGAGAGAAGACAGAAGGAGACAGAAATCTCCCAGCAGCCGACTGAGGTAAGAAACTGATCCCTTGCCCGTCGCCATGTCTTAATTGCTGCTGTTGCTGTGGGGATTAATAATCACTGGAATGAAACATTAGATGCTGTAGATTTGCATCTCATACAGAAAAATCAACGCAGTTTTGTTGCACTTGTTTTGGGTTTTTGTTTTTGCTAAAAGATCAGTCTTTGTGGCACCATTATCCTTTTTAGTTGTGGGTGGTTCATAAATCTTATAGAAGAATCCACTAATTGACATTTACAGAAGATCCAGTTACCCTGATAACACTGGGCATGGTTTGATTGCATCCAGTTTTTTTTTTTCCTCTTTTTCTACAGATTGAGTCTTGCTGAAAGTAATTACATTCTGGTCAATTAGGGAGGACACATTTTGTGCCCTTTCCCTTTCAACTTCACATCCTGCTGGACACTTCCCCTACAGGTCCGGTCAGCGGCACTTTGAAGGGTTTCACTTTTTGGATTTAAAGCTTTTACACGATGTCTCATAAATGAAGCTGATAGAAAAACTGCCGGGGAGGTAATTGAAACTGATTTCATGAGGCAAAATGAAACATGCATCACTTTGGCTGCAGGTGCACGTTATTTATATCGTCCGTTTCAGAGCATCGGTCTTGGTAAAGGAGGTGGGGAAATAAAGGTGCCAATGATTTTTTATGCGCTAAAGATGATCCTAAGTTCAGTTGACAGGCAAAGCTTCAGCCCCGTCCCCATTATCTGCCTCACAAAATGGCCCTTTTTCTTTACATCATGGAGTCTCAGTTTGCAAAGAGTTGTGTGTGAGCTTCAAGCACAAACAAGAGAACAGATTGTGTTCCTTTTTTTAATTTCTTCAAGCTCCTCAAACACCATCTTTCTGCTGGTGTTTGCCATTGTTGTCCCCTTTGACTCGCTTCATTTATTTGCCTTCAGTTATGCAACAGGAACAGGCATTATAAGAAGAAGCTGGCGAGAGATATCACATCTCCTTGAGGTTTCCTATCTGTGACAGATGCTGAGTAAACCCCCTGCTCCACAGCGCGTGAAATACAATCCATTTTTTTAGGTTTGGAGGAGAACCTCAACCTTGACTTTCACATGAAGTGTCATAAATCTTCAACTCTTCAGTCACGTTCATGTGCAAAAGAAGATGGAGGCTGAAGAATTGTTTTATGAACTTCCTGAAGATCTTAATTTAAGGATCTTTGTGCTGCATATTCTTGTTCTTACATTGAAATGCAGAACATTACATGTTTCCTCAACAGGTGAATTTTTGTTACTAAAAATAAACACAAAACCTCACCCCAGATGAAAGATTTACGTTTCACATTTATTACATTTAATTACTTCTTCACACCGCATACGTACTGGTACATTTATTACAAATTCTTGTTTGCAATAAGAACACATAAGATCAAGCATCACACTTCCACAGTTGTCAAACATTAGCAGCAATATTGAGGTCATAAAACGATAAAAACAAGACTGAGGTCAAAGGAGGATAAATATTTTAGCTGAAACAGGTTTCAGATGGTATCTTCTTTAGAATATCTTTAAAGGTTCTTATTGATACAAAGATGCCCATCTTTAATATTTGCTTAGTATATGAGATGCAGTTTCACAATTGGCTCCAAGAAGATTGGGACATGTTGCCACAATCTTCCACTAAAGGAAGGAAGGCAACCATATGCAAAAAAAAAAAAAAAAAAAAAAAAAAAAAAAAAAAAAAAAAAAAAACGGGTCGGATGATAATTCAGCAAGCGCACTACTGAAGACTTCAATGACATTTAGGAAAAGACTCCAGATCTCATCAAAAATCATCAAATTTACTGTTTTTACTGAAATGAATCTTTCAGCACTGAGACAAAACAAGAAGTAAAGGGTAAAAGCTCACATTCTGGACTTCATACAGGGTGTGAAAACCCTTCCAAATATGTCATGAAGCAGAAAATGTCCAAAGCAAATGGATTAGAGATGCTTTTTCACAGCCACACCTGTTACTGCAAGAATCCAAACATTTGTACCATTTGGTTGGGGCTAACTTGAATCTGAACAGGTGAGCTACCTTAAATTACCATCAAGAGTTGTGAGTCCAGTATGTTGGATTTACAAAGAAAAGGACTAAGTTTAAAATGTCTAAAACTGAAAGGTTTATGTCTTAATGCCACATTCTCAAAAGGCTGGAGTTCTTCAGCATGTTTGGGCTGCAGAGAGAGTTTTGGGGAGTGTCTGCTTTGTGGACAGCTACTCAAATTATGTTTGTTCTGTCTAGAAATCAATCATTTTAAAGTGAATTACATTGGCTCCATGACAAACATGAAAATGGAGTGTAAGGTAAGATAGGTAGATCAATAATACAGCCCTTTAAAAGTCAGAAACTGTGAAAACAGCAGTGTTTGTGTGATTTAGGGAGTGTTTGATCTCATCAATAACTGGTCTATAGGTTTATCATTAGAAAAGGACTCTAGCACAACTCCACACAGTCAGTGGCCACTTTAAAAGGTACATCTTGGTACTACTGGGTTAATTATTCACAGCTAAGATCCATCAGGGTGACGGAAACATTCCTCATGATATTTTAGTTCATGTTGACACAGCAACATCACAGTGGCTTCATATTTGACGAATAAAGTGAGACGTCTTGTTTGTGCACAATGTTTGTTTTTTATTTACATCTGTTGAGATAAATAAATAATAATAATAAAAAAACGAAAAGTTTCAAAGTAATACATCAAGTACTAAGTGAAGAGCCACAGCCAACTTCAAGATCGAGATTTGGAGACCCAGTATATATATATATATAATATATATATATATATATATATATATACTTTTTAAACATATATATTTAAAAAGTGCTGCTTGAATCTCTTTTGACTGAATGTAGAAGAACCGTAACCCCAGATCATGATGCTGCCACCACCGTGTTCTGCTTTAGAGTTTCTGGTTTCATCAGAACAGAAACTTGGTTCTCCGACAAAATTTGGGAGATTTTAGCTCAGATGTTTTCTGTAGCAGAAATGTTTTTTCCATCATGCATTTCATGTGGCATCTTCATATGTTGATCTTCTTTATCAGAAATCTTTTTAGGGGATTTTTTTCATCACCTAGTTTAGTTTACTCTAATAATTTGGATTTTCATCTGACACCCTAACAATTGAAAACAATATTTGACGCCCATTTTATATATCAAATCAGTTCTAATCAGTTATTCTTTTCTACTCTTACTTGAGTAATTTCTTGGACGTTTCATAAAAGTATGTTGAAATGGGGTTGCTCTTACTTGAGTACAGCTTTTGCGCACCCTAACCAGTGAAGGCTATCGTCAAGTCCAAGAAACCAGTTTGAAATGATCTGAGGTTTTTGACAATGCGGGTTTTTCTGCTTAAGGTACTCTGTGGTCACAAAGAGATGGACAAAACTCTCACGTAGGATGTGGCATTTAAGTGATGCTCACTTGGTACTGAGGGGCTCGAAGTGCCACACTGCCAGCATCCTAAACCAGTGAAACAAGGCAGGATGGAGCCATACTTTGAGTTCCTCCCATTGTGGTCTTCTGCTGCTGTAGCCGATCTGCTGCTGTGCACACAGAGAGGATTAACGCGGTTATTTCAGCTGCA